AGCTTTTCTGGCCAGAGAACGTATCCACGAGGATGATCACCCACCCTACAGCCCAAACCTGGTTCAGTGTGACTTTTGTGTTCACAAATGTTAAGCGCATGATGAGTAGAATCTGCTACGTGTCTCCGGAAGTTAGAGTAAAGGTCTTTACTTAGGGGTTTAAATGATTACCCGCTTCGGCGTGGTTTAGCTGCTTCTGTAAATACTGTGAGCGCATGGAACGGTGCATGAACGTTGGTGGAGAATACCGCAAGAAAATGCAATACTTATTTTGCTGTAAAAAATAAAACCTTTTGTGAATCCGGAAACTTACCGTTGTACTCTGGTTTATACAACTTGATAGTCAGCAACATGTGAGCAGTTTCAAGCTCTGCCTCAGTTTACACACGTGTCCTTTATATATATATATATATATATATATATATATATATATATATATATATATATATATATATATATATATATATATATATATATATATAAATGCGGTGTCTCATGCTGAGGTTGATGTTGCATACATAATGCTTCTTCACCGCAGTTGAGCCAAACCGACTTACACTTACAGTATCTCATTTTAATCTGGATAAAAGTTATGTCGCTTTATTTCATTTGTTCAGTTCTGTGCTTTTGCTGCATATTCTGTGTCAATTTTGTGTGTTTGCTCTCCTTCAGCGGATATGTTGAGTGCTTGACATCGCCGGAGTGACTATGCTTGATGTGCATGTTACTAAGGTACCTACCTCTCTAACACCCTCCACCTCGATTGCTGGCTCCAAGAGACTGTGAATCGTTGCTGCGATGTGGGGGGGGGGGGGGGACCGAGTGCACGGTCCTCGTGGTCATGCTAGGCTCAGCGAGCGTCTCCGTCCAGTGTGGAGCGGACTGCGGTCTAGCCACTGCTTTGTGTATGTTTGATATGCATTATTCCCCACAGAGATAGACACGAATGCTGCTGCTATGCATGTTGAAGGAGTGTGTGCCGGCTCCGTTGATGGAACTTGGCTCCCATCCACATGCCTCCCCGTCTTATTCCTTCGGGTTTACACTGGATATGGGTGTGTGGTTGGAGCTGTGGGTGGTGCACCACAATCCACCCATGGTCCTACTGTAGGCCCAGGCGTCCTTTGGCTGTCCCCGTAGAGGCCGCAGTGACAGGCAAATCCGGAACCGGATGCTGCCAATCACATATATATCCCAACCCAAATGCCGCCAATCCTGATTGGCGGCATGGATAGCTGCAACGACACAGCTCACCTCTTCACAGCATGTTTTTTGAATGTTTATTAACACCGTCAACTAGACAGAAGTGTAAGTGCATACGTGTCTGCACACTAGCCAATCGGTTTAAGAAGAACTGCTTTACAAGCCCTGTCGGGTAGGCCGATTGGTTAACGCAAAACGTCGATGGACAAAACAAAGTTAGTAGTTCTACTGCCAAACGAATGGACTTATCGTATGTAAAGAAGTAACCCTGCACTCCGAGTGTTTCCATAGCTTCAATAGGGAGTAGGATGGACAGTAGCGTCAAGTGCCAAAATTTAATTGGCGGAGGGCGTCATCCAACCGACTTTTAAACATGGCTAGCCTGAGTGCAGAAACAACCGATTGGGGGAGAACGTTCCATGATTGACACACGCGAATTGAGAAGAAATTTCTGCGACACGCCAGTCGGCCGTACTGTTCTGCTAACCAAAGAGTGGCCTCTAACTTTGGTGTTACTGCTGCGTTGCAGTTAAGAGCGGCCTACATGATTTGGATTGTGTAAAGTCAAATACGTCATAATCAAGTCGCCTCGTAGTCGGCGATACCGCCCGCTGAATACTCCCAAACGTTTCAGCTTCTGCTCATATGGAAGGTTGCGCATTTCAATGACGTATTCAGAAGCCCGACGCTGAGATTGGTCGAACGCAGTAAGGTCATGCTTCAGCCATATCTGCCAGGCTTGGATTACGTATTCGACACGGAGGCGAACATACGCATTCAGCATTTGTCTGCAAATAGTGGTGTCTAGTTGTCCGAACGCCCGTCATAGCAAGTCGAAGTGCTGGTTACCACTTTTCGAGGCCTTTACGGTTTGCTTGGAATAACCCAAGTTATCCTGAACAAGCACGCCAAGGTCGCGTTCGACTGATGACCGCTGCGGTACTTGCGTTCCTAGCTTGTAACTATAAGTATTCTGATGTTGTATGGAGAGTACCTTGCATTTGTCTACATTGAACTGTAGCAGATTTCGGATTGACCACTCATGTACCACAACAAGGTCACCCTGAAGTAAATCCCGATGGGTATCCGCCTGAACCCCCCGCCATATGTTGATATCGTCAACAAACATCAGGCGGTTTGAAGTGATTATCTGTGCAAGGTCGTTGCTGAATACCCAAAGCAATCGTGTCCCTAACAGTGAGCCCTGGGGCACACCAGACTCGACTGGTGTGGGTTCAGAGAGGGAACTCCGGACCCTCACCATTAATTGTCGTTGCAGGAGAAAGTTGGCGATCCAGCTCAAGAGAGGGTCACCGATCCCGTAATATTGGAGTTTGGAAAGGAGAATCCGATGATCAAAACGGTAGAGTGCCTTGGAGAAATCCACATAGATTACAGCAACGGCCTCTCCAGCACCAGCTGACTCAGTCCAACTACTCCGTGCGAGTAAGAGATTCGATGTGCACGATCGCTGTCTACGAAAACCATGTTGCTCGGGTGCAATAATTTTACAGTTTTCTGGATAACACTCCAACGCATCGACAACGATGGATTCCATGACTTTGGATAATACAGGGAAAAGAGACAAACGGCGATAGTTTGAGGGCTCCGTCCTGCTTCCGCATTTGTGAATCGGAGTTGTTATTCCAAGTTTCCACATCGCAGGAATCTGCTTCTCGTCAAAGCAGCGCGGAAAGAACTGGGCCAAAAGTTTTGAAAGTTGTCTTGATGCTGCTTCCAATACCTCTTGGCGAATGGTGTCGATTCACGGGGAGATGTAGTTGTGCAGAGATGTCAGCTTTTCAATTAAACCTCGGCAGTAAAAGAGATGTGGATAAGTCCTGGAGTCGGGAAAACAAAAGTCGGAAGTTGGCCTGATGGTAGGACCTTCTGAAATGTGGGAGTATATTGCGTCCGCAACGCGTTTGCTGCTTCTATAGCTGTTCTAGTTGGACCATCAGTCGTCCAGAGAGGAGGAATTCCCTGCCTCGCGTTACGGCGGTTATTGAACAGCAGTATGTGGTTAGCGCTGAAAGCTTTCGTCATATTCTGCTGATATGCGACTTTGTCCCCTCCAAGCAGCTGAGTGCAGTGGTTATGAGGGGCAACGTAACTAGCATTGGTGAGGAGCTGTACTCTCGCTGGGCTTCGTTGCTTACAGTCATCCATTTTCGAGTCCTGCTCCTCACGACAGAAACGGTTTTAAACTCGTTGAAAACCCTTGTCTCTGAAGCATCGGTAATAAGCTGATTGAATTTGCTGACGAATTCCAGCCAAGCGACTTCTGGGTGGCGTTCAGCGAGGAACGATCAGATTTTGGCACTGACGGGTTGGGTTAAGCGGTCGTAGTGTGTACTAGTGGCGATATTCCCCATAGCAGATGAAGTCGAAACTGATGACTGCACGATCAATGCGACCCAAAGAGCATTCTACAATTAATACATCAATTAGCTGTTCCTCGTTGGTGAACACAAGATCCAGCAAAGGTCTATTACCTGTTCTGAAGAGAGTGGGCGCAACGAGGTGACTGTAAAGTGGAACACTGGTTATAAGCTCTAGCATATCTGCTTTGAATGGTTCTCCGATTGCAGCAAGTGTTTCTAAATAGTGCACCTTGAAATCACCCATGATAAGGATGTGTGTGTTTGCGCTTTAGACTGCATCTTAAAGTTGTCGCAAGGTGGCATTCCTTTTCCGGTGCAGAGTTTAGGGGACGGTATACCAAAGCTATAAGGCAGGTGTCTCTGCCAAGTAAATGCAGGCGGCAGCAAACCGAATCAGCAAACTGTAAGTCTGAATCCTCAACGGCCTCGCACCGTAAGTCGCTTCGGTAATAAAGAATTACCCCTCCTCCTTTCGTAAGCCTGTCTTTTCGTATGAGTGACATACCCGGCAGTGCGACTTCATCGTCTGTCATTCCACTGTGCAACCATGTCTCCATGAGACCGATGATTTTGCATGGGTTCGAATTTGGCGATCTTTCAGTTCGGTCAGCTTATTGAAAAAGCCTTGAGCATTTGCATAAACGCGGGACAGTTTTTCTAGCTCTATGAACCAACAGTGAGTCAAAGGAGTCAAGTGTGTTAGAATGCTGACTGATGTGAGGTCAGCCGTTATTCGTTTTTTGGTGAGATGATACTTACACGTCGTTCGCAAGCTGCTTTGGCCAAGATACGTCACATTCCTCGTCCGGACATACTGCAGAATTTCGTGACCAAGCGGTAGAGTGATGGTCCTGCGTAATCGCTGGTAGGATTACTTTTCCAGGTAGGCTCATGTCTTGTCTTCGCAAGGATTCAGCAGCTTTTAGTCGCAGTTCAGATGGAAGGCTTTTCCAATGTCGCGGCCAATGTTCTAACACCCGTTGCTGCCTGCTCTGACTGAACCAGGAGTTATAGGATTCTTTATCCGTTCCCTATATAATTTGGTCAGATAGGTAGCCTTTTGAGCCATCGAGTCCCCACGTTGCCTAAGGAAAGTGTTTTACGAATAAAGCGCCACTGTTCCGAATCGTGATTACCAACCTCATAACTATCGTGGGGAGTTCTGGCACGCCATAAATAAAGATGGTGCTTAGACAATCCAGCTTACTGTGTCCATCCTAGATGTCTCCCCATCTATCAAACTCTTGGTTAACCCTAACTGAAACCGAATCTATACACTTCCATTAGTAGGTAAAACTGAATTTAAATGAGTGATAAGTGCCTGATTGGGGCAATACGTTAATCAAGTTGTACAGTTTACCCACATCTAGCTCAATTCCAAACCAGTTCGTAATCAAAGTCATACCCACCCACCTGGCAAGTTCGGTTTCTCCGGAATACCTGAGTTCTTCAAATTGTAACTGTAGCCGATCTCTCTCCTCTCGTAGAGCCTGACACTGTTTCTCCGCCTTCTCCTTGAGTTCTTGCAAGTGAGTCAGGGTATCGCCTTGGTTTTCAAAACGCTTCACGATTTGATTCAGGTCCGATAGACCAGTGACTTCTTTAATTTGTCGGAATGCCTCCTCAAATGCAACTATCTTCTGGTGCTGTTCTTCTGTTATCCCAGCAGCCCCGGAGCCACGTTCACCACCACTTTGCTCAGCAGAACCTTCTCCACTCTCTCCTTGTGCATCTTCTGTGATGGAATCCCGTGCAGCCTAAAAATAAAAGTGTCAGTTTGGATTTATGCCTATAAATCAAGGTTAGTGGTTGAATTGTTTGTACCAAGGTTGCTCAATTTTGACACTATAGTTTCATGATAAAATTCAACACCGTAGTAGGTGAATGATATAATGTTAAGCCAGTATTTTCAAATCCTTCTAATATTATCCTTCTAGACTGTCCTATTAAGCCGCTATTACGCGGTTGTAACTATGTTATGAGGCCAAGTAAGTTTATGGTGAGTAAACCATGCACCTTACATCAGCAGTGCGCGGGCACGCAGTACCGACGCTTCACCGCCGCGCAACCATCACCAGTCGCACTCGGGCTAAGGATACTGCGAGGGTCGCCCGGTCCTCTACGCAGGCTTGAACCCGCGACTTTAGGATTACAATGCAGCCTTGTGATCCTTAAGAGCACGGGACGGCATAGGGACTAAACAAGATTACGGAGTATATCACATTTTCTCCGATACATTCAATTCAGAACTAGATGTATGTAGCAGATACCCGGAAAACTCGTGTATTTGACAACCAATGCAAATTGACCACATGCGTGTACAAAATTTCCGTGCGATTGGTGGATGGGTGTTATACAGACACCAATCCCAAAGAAGTAGGCGACGCCAAAGCTTCAAGGGTCAGAAAAACTGAATTTCAGGCTCTCAAAGAAGATGATATTCTGAGGAACTGTTACTTCAGGGTGTGGAAAAATGTGTGGGATACAGATTGTAGAGTGGGAGGAGCTCAAAGACCTTCCATCTCATTCCCTAAACAACTGACCGCGCATGGAATGGGTTTTCGCTTTGTTTACACCAATTTGGAGGAATACGGCGCATGGGTGTCAATGGAAAAACTCGAAAATGGCCGTTCCGAGTTGAAGGGGAACGGTATGACTCTAAGACAAAAGCTTGTCTGAGTCCTAACCATAAACTCAATTTGCCTGTGGATCCGATCCAAATCGTGTAAGTGATAGACGGCTGGGTAGTGGTCCAACCCCACTGGCTAATTGCTTTTGCGCATACATTTGTGCACACATTTACAAATGAATGAAAAGTGTGCTCGTGTTTTCTCTCCTACTTTGAACCGCATGATTCAAGTATATGCGTTAGATATGTTGCCATTGTCTTTCGTGCATCACTATCGTGTCCACTCCCTTGTGGTTCACTTTGACACATCAATGTCACTACTTTGTCATGCTACCTTTATCGTCTATTAACATTCATTGGACTAGACTTGCTTATGATTGGCTGTATCGCCTACAGGTTCAAATGCACATCGTTTAAGTGTAAAAACGTGTGTTTCGTGTGTCCACACAATCGCTCCATTGTGAATTCGGTTCTCTTCCTTTCGGACACGATAACCGCTTTTGATCGCAAAATCATCAATCAAGAATGACCATCCTACCAGTCAGCAACATTCTCTGCCACTACCACGACAGCTGTCAATCCCGTAGCGGCTACTTCGAAGAATGCATATCTGAAAATAGTAGCTTGGAGCCTAAAAGAAGAAGTACAATTCGGTTTCGAATGGTATGCAACAGGCTCTTGAACACTGCTTGCAGTTGCAATCGCTCCAACGAACCGCTTCATCAACGGGTGGAAACCGTGAGATTAGCAGTGAACCCGATGGTGCTTTGTTGTCAGCAGCATTGGCAGCGCCTGTCTGTGCGTCCGAAAGTTTAAGTTCTTTATGCTTAGTGAAATCGAGCCACTGGCATACTCACCTCGCATAGTGATCACGGAGAATTTTCGCATCAGTCATGTGTTTTAATTGAATGCATAGGTGATAGCAGTTTTCATGGAGGAGTGTGCCAACGTAGCTGAGGAAAATGTCGATCAACTTAAATATAAAAAGCTTTAGAAGCGCATAGGACGCATGAATAATACAACCATCTACCTCAAAGTGAACGGATGTTTCAGTAAAGGTTACGTGTCGCAACCCAACCACATAGCTCGTTCTCCATGTTCAACTTTGAATTCCTTTCCGCTGTGCTAAGCATTGCTCGCGGATCTCAGTAGCGTAGTGTTCAGGGCGTCAGCCGTGAACTACTACGCTCTGAGTTCCACCCCAGCTCAGGCTATCGCCACCTGATCAGTCTAAACCAGGACGAAACCGCGGTCGTGGTGTGCCGGTGTTGGGAGGGGCAACGCCCAAATATCTTCATCTACCTTCTACTTTTGGTAGGATAGAAAAAGGCGGTTTCATGAAGGTTGTTTTTTGGAGATGCCGATGCGTCCCAGACGTTGGCCATCTAAGGCCGGCAACACATACAGCGAAAGGGAATGAATGAACAATCTTAGTTTACTTGACAAGTGCAGGGCGCAAACGGAATTCTAGGCGCAATTAATTCATGGGATCTTGGATAAATTTCAGGCATCTTACGATGTCTCGCGTGCAGAATAGAGTTACTTATTTATAAGTTCACTTTTCAAACGTAGGAAGTCACCAAGCTTTTAGTAGAAGACCATTTATATCATCTGGATACTGAGTCACTGTCCAGGACTCTGATAAGTCGCATGAGTATGACTGACATCAGCTTGCATATAGTTGAATATTCATAACATCCATGATCCTTGTCCCAGAAAATTACTTGTACAGACAACACACAGATGTGTTTGTCCATACTCATGGCAATCAGTCAGAATACTTCATTTCAATTCTATCAAATACCTAGGATTACGTAATCAAAGTGTGGTAATAACTGGCGTCAGCGCCCGGTAAGTGTCGCATGGCTGTTCGATGATCGTCCGATAGATGTTAGCTATGACGCCAAGTGGGACTACTTTCGGACGACTATCAGTCCGTCAGGAAGGATACCTGCATTAACCGTCAATATCGCGTTTTTCTGTTCATCATTTAGACGCCATATAATCGGACAAAAACATGCAGTTTCTTTATGTTTACATCATTAGAAGGTCGCTTTTAAACCTAATTTAAAAGCATTGTCGTCATGACCGACCGAATCCGTCTAACATGACGCCCGCTTGGACGTCATTCATAAAACCGTTTGCACCAAGTATGATCAGCTTTTATCTCGACATCCCCAAGGAAGGTAATCTCAGGTAAGGCAGTATTTTATGCCTTCGTTCGGAGATAATGCACGATACCCTTAAACAGGCTAGTTTTAAAAGAAGCATACATTCTTGCAGTATCCGTTTACAACAGTCATTTTGCTATTCGCAATTAGGAAATAAGCTGCGTTCCACCTCGTTGAGATAAATGCAACAGCTCCTTGGGATGTCTAGCATGGATGCTAGAAGTTTCCGGGAAACGTGGTTGCAAGGCCACTCGGAAAAGACACAGGCCATCCTCGCGATAGCAAACACCACGACAGTCACAGCAACTGCGCAGCTAGCAGATCGCGTCGCCGAGTAACATCAGCAAACAACGGGATCAAGGGCACCTATCTGATTTAGCACCGTCGCAGCACAAGCGTCACTCCTGATTTGTCGGTAATTAGCTCTTCTTATGAGTAGGGGATTTTGATGTAATCAAATTAGCTTCTTCGCAGCCAGGTTTATGTTTGAAGACATACTCGTTGTATGTGGTCTGCGATACTGCCAGGGTGCCCAGACCTAGACAGGAGGACGATCACGGTCTTCAGCCAATGCCTTGGACTCAAAAGTCTGTCCGCAAGGCAGCGGAGAGGTGGCAATGAGTTAGTTTTACAGAAATGAACGCCATCCCATTTCAAATCCCGAAATGGAGGACCAGGAGACTGAGTTTGTCTGGCCTTTCACTATTGACCAACCTGTTAGGAGTAGCTCACTAGGTGCCCGGAAGCACCAACCAGTATAGCTCAATAGGTCAAGGAGATACGCAAACCGTCGCACCACGCTAAGGTCCAGTCTCCTTTTCATCATTGTGAGCTGGCAACGCAGTACAACTGATCAGAATGTCGACGAAGTAGTTTTTCCTTCAGTATCGCAGTCCTGGAACTCCCTCGCACAGCATACAATTCGTGCCTCCGATATCTCAATAGTCAAGACGACTTGACAACACACTGACACATCCACACTACCTGATTTAACCCGTGACCATCAGACAACGGCATTGGTGCATAACAAACAGTAAACTTGTCGGAATCCTCCTAACCCCAGATAGGAACATCTACCTCTGTGCAACTAAAAACCTCTAGGTGAATCATGTAACTTGTGTGTTCTTCAATAGGTACCATGTATTTGTCTTATAATTCTCACCCTAAACATATTACGAAAATTGTTAAGCATTTGCTTTTCACTTGCTACCTGTTACCATTGCTCCATGATTCCTTTTTTGCAGGACACTGCGCAGCACGTACATCATGGTCACTTCCTCTGTGTATAATTTACACACTGCTGTATAAATCTATAAGGTGTTATATAAAAGACATTATAAAAGCGTGCACCGATTCCAGCTTTTACGTTATGTGCACACGGTCGCAGCCAAGGCAAAGGTTAAGGTGTCCTTTAGTTGGCAAATATTTTTCAGTACTGTGAGTGTGGGATGGCAAAATTCGCATAGATTACGTTAAATCCTGATTAGCTTTGATCCAAGTGTTATACTCGTTGATCAAAGTCCTAAGAGAATTTGTCGCTCAAATCATAAATTACTTGTGACCAAGCATGGTAGCAGGGTCAGAAGTGCATGTATTTTTTGCTGTAATTACACATCTGCTAGTTATGTGCTTTTTGACTCCCAAACAACATTAGAAATGCTTCCGAAGCCTTGCTTTGTTTGAACACAGTAAAACAGCAGATGACGAATCTCAATGAACATCTTAGTTACGTGTCAGACGCGATACCAGAGATTCAGAAGTCATGCATTTTGACCTATAAAAACCCTAACAAATCTGTGGCTACACTATACAGAGTATAAGAGGATGTTCTGGTTGAGTGTTTGCAGTGTACACATTGAAGCACACTTATATAACTATTAGTAAAAGGTGATGTTGTTAAAGGAGCCAAAGGCTGTAATAATTACACTACAAATAACTGAAGACGGTTAAGAGTGCC